ATTCTTTCAATTTGATAAATTTTTAAAATGCAAAAAAGAACTTACACACCTGAGCAAATCGAAATAAAAAATGAAGGGTTTGAAATAAGGAATTTGCAACAGGTCTTACCAACCGATCTTCTTTCTGATACTGCCTTTACTTTTGACAGATTACAAAGATTAAGACAAAATATGCGTTTACAACAAAGATTACTTTCTCTTCTTTATAAATTTATTATTAATGTAATTCTAATAGCTAAAGGCAATTATAAAATTTAAATAATTAAAGCCTAAGAATTAGGGCTCCAGCCCACAAAACGTCGCCGTTTTTCTAGTATTACTGAAGATCTGTAGGACGCATAAATATTTGTAAGATATTATATAAATTCATACGAGTTCATGTGATTTCTTACCTATTAATTTTATAAAAAAAGTTCATGATGTACTTAATAAACTTTATCAAGTTGTGAATATTTTTTAAATATTTACTATATTGATAAACACAATTAAACTGATTAAAATATTTTCCACTAAGTAAAAATTTATTCCCTGGCACTTACTGACTCATCGATTAAGGTACTAAATCTTAAGATCGTTATTTTTATTCATATCCAGAAATTTCGCTTAAAAAAGATATCCATTAATTCTATATAGGCTGTTATAAAACAATAAAAGTTGTTGACAACCTACTATTCATCTATAGATTGAATCAATTCTCTCTTGTCACCAAAGTTTGTTTAAAATTGTATTGCAAATTAATTGATTTACATACAATCGACAATATACACTTTATTTACAAGTATATACGAAAAAATGCTGTAATAAAATTCAAGCACTACTGTATCTCAATTGTTTCAGCTATTATATGACTTCAGCTACTCTTGATTAGTGATTGGCGCCGTAATCATGTGATGCTAATTGTCACATGATACAATATATAAAAATCAACAATTAGATTGTTGATTATTATATATTTTACCACGTGACAATTAGCATCACATGATTACGGCGCCAATCACTACTCTTGATAATTACGCCAGAGGGGACAAAGCTTATACGTATTTGTAGAATCAAGAGTAAAATCATTTTTAATGGTGATCACATTGTAGTGATTGACCAATCAGGATTGTAAAACATTGAGTCGACCAATCATAATTGGCAATTTTTGTGCGACCCAAGGAAATTCGAGTTGACCAAAGGTTTTTTTTTTTTTATTCAATATACAAGGCAGATTTTTTTTAAATGATACAGGGTTTGAAATTTTCTATAACAAAAAGTGAAACTCAAATTATATATCATGAAATTTTGGCGGATATTGACTATAATTCTAAAAAGTTTTATTAGAAGCGTATTTTGCTTTCTATATAAAATTTTAAAATTGATCTACTTGTGCCATGTGGTACGTTTCAAATATTTATGTATAAGTAAGGATGTTACATACCTTGGTAATTCTCCGATAAAATTGTACGTACGTACGTACGTATTAAAAAAAAAGTCGTAATGACAAACATAGCAAAAGAATGGCTTGAAAAGGCCATTTCCGATGGGCATATTAATTGTCTCGAATATAATAAATTTACTGATCCTAAATTAATTGGTATCGGAGGTTTTGGAAAGGTTGTTAAATACGAATGGAAAGAATGTGAATTAACCGTTGTTCTTAAATGTCTTAAAGTCGATACTGATCCAAGTTTAAATGAAAAAATTATTAAAGATTTTATTAATGAGGTATTTATTGGTGTATGTTAAGACCTGAATCAATTACTTCTTGGTATATATTAAATTTCTACAATATATTAAAGCTTAAGCTATTGCGAGGAGTTGATTACCATCCTAATATTATTAAATTCTATGGGATAGCGAAAGGTATACTTGTTTGTTTATTATTTTTAAATATAAATCAATAAACATTTAATTTATATAACAGATAATGCTAATTTTAAATAAATATTTTAGATAATAATGGATACTATAATATGGTTTTACAGTATGCTAATGACGGAAATTTACGAGATTACCTAAATGCAAATTTTACAAAATTACAATGGGCTGATAAATTATTTATTTCTAAAGAAATAGTGCTTGGTCTTTTGTTCTTACACAATAATAATATTATTCATAGGGATCTTGTAAGTATATTATTTTTATATTTATTATATAATTTTAGTTACAACAACTATTGTTCTAATATATATATATACCTTAGCATTCAAAGAATATCTTAATTCATCAAGGACAACCAAAAATTGCTGATTTTGGACTATTAAACCAAATAAATGAGATGTCAACAACTACAAACTCAATTGCTCATGGGATGCCGGCTTATATGGAGCCTAAATGCTTTATTGATCACAAATATAAATGTGATAGAAAATCCGACGTCTACAGCTTTGGAGTAATTCTTTGGGAAATTTCAAGCGGAAGACCTCCATTCCAATCTTTTAAAACGATAGAATCACTTGCTGATCACATCTTTCTAGGAAATAGAGAAGAACCTATAGAAGGTACACCATCTCAATATATCGAGCTTTACAAACAATGTTGGGATAACGATCCTGATAATCGCCCGGAAACAAGATTAATTCTTAATACCTTAAAACAACTTATCCCTGATGAGACTTTGTGTCAATACTATCATTCAAGTAAGTATAAAGACAATAAGTGCGCTCGTCAATTCACTTCAATCTACTTGAAATTCACTTGAAATTCAATATTTGCCAGATGCGAATATTTCAGTACAAGACAATAATAATATTCTTGAGAATTTGAGAAAGAAAGCACATGAATTTTTTGAGCAAGGCAAATTTCTCAAAGCATTAGAATTTTTTGAAGAAATCCTCAATAACAGCCAGCATAGCCCTGAAGATCAAAAACGTGCTTCAGTCTGGGATTTTTCTTCTAATAAATGTGATGTGATGAAAATAAACCAGCTAATAAAGGCACTTCGCAAGAACTCCTCCTTAACAACGTTGAATCTCAGTAGCAATAAACTTGAATCCGAAGGTGGAGAAGCATTGGCAGATGCACTTTGCAAGAACTCCTCCTTAACAACGTTGAATCTCAGTAGTAATGAACTTGGATCCGAAGGTGGAAAAGCATTGGCAGATGCACTTTGCAAGAACACCTCCTTAACAACGTTGAATCTCAATAGTAATAAACTTGGATCCGAAGGAGGAAAAGCATTAGTTGATGCACTTTGCGAGAACTCCTCCTTAACAACGTTAAGTCTCGCTTATAATTATCTTGGATCCGAAGGAGGAAAAGCATTAGCTGATGCACTTTGCAAGAACACCTTCTTAACAACGTTAAATCTTGAATATAATTTTCTTGGATCCGAAGTAGGAAAAGCATTAGCTGATGCACTTTGCAAAAACACCTCCTTAACAACGCTAAATCTCGATAGCAATAAAATTGGATCCGAAGGAGGAAAAATATTAGCTGATGCACTTTGCAAGAACTCCTCCTTAACAGCGTTGAATCTCAGGAATAATGAGATTGGATTAAAAGGAGGATACGCATTAGTTGAAATACTTTGTAAGAACACTACTCCAAAAAATTTAGATATTCGAGGCAATGAACTTGGAAGAGGAGAAGCATTAATAGATGCACTTTGCAAGAACACCACACTGACGTCATTAGATCTTACTTCGAATGAGCTCGGGTCAGAAGAAGGAAAAGCATTAGCATGTGCACTTTGTAAGATTGCCTCTTTAACAACATTAAATCTCTGTAGTAATAGACTTGGATCCAAAGGAGGAAAAGCATTAGCAGATGCACTTTGCAAGAACACCTCCTTAACAACGTTAAATCTTAAATCTAATTTTCTTGGATCCGAAGGAGGAAAAGCATTAGCAGATGCACTCTGCAAGAACTCCACGCTGATCTCTTTGAATCTTGCTTGGAATAGACTTGGATCAGAAGGAGGAAAAGCATTAGCAGATGCACTTTGCATAAACACCTCCTTAACTACGTTAAATCTCTCTTATAATATTCTTGGATCCGAAGGTGGAAAAGCATTGGCTGATGCACTTTGCAAGAACTCCTCCTTAACGTCTTTGGATATTTCTCGTAATAATCTTGGATCCGAAGGAGGAAAAGCATTAGCTGACGCGCTTTGCAAGAACACCTCCTTAACAACGTTAAATCTCTATTATAATAACCTTGGATCTGAAGGAGGAAAAGAATTAGCTGATGCACTTTGCAAGAACACATACTTAACATCGTTAAATCTCGAATATAATAAACTTGGAACAGAAGGAGGAAAAGCATTAGCAGATGCACTTTGCATGAACACTTCCTTAACAACGTTAAATCTCACTTATAATACTTTTGGATCCGAAGGAGGAAAAACATTAGCTAATGCACTTTGTAATAACTCTATGCTAACCTCTTTGAATCTTGCTGGAAATTATCTCGGATCAGAGGGAGGAAAGATATTGGCAGAATCCCTTTATATTAATACTGCTTTGGCCAGTTTGGATCTTAGTAATAATAATCTTGGCCCTGAAGGAGGAAAGGCATTTGCAGAATCCCTTTATGTTAATACCACTTTGGCTAATTTAGATCTTAGTAATAATGGTCTTAATACTGAAGGAGGAAGAGTATTAGCGGAATCTCTTTATGTTAATACTACTTTGGTCAATTTGAATCTTAGTAATAATAATCTTGGTTCCGAAGGAGGAAAGGCAATAGCAGAATCTCTTTATATTAATACTACTTTAACCAAATTGAATATTAGTAATAATGATTTAGGGAGAAAAGTTTTTGAGGAATCTTTTTATGAAAATATTGCTTCAACCAATTTGAGTCTAGATGATAATTCGAGTCTTGATGATAATTTGAATCTTGTTGATAATAATTATTTTAGTTCTAAAGAGTGGGAAATGTTGTTAAAATCTCGTCAGCGATTGAGTCTAGATGATAATTCGAGTCTTGATGATAATTTGAATCTTGTTGATAATAATTATTTTAGTTCTATAGAGTGGGAAATATCAGTAAAATCTCGTCAGCGATTGAGTCTAGATGATAATTCGAGTCTTGATGATAATTTGAATCTTGTTGATAATAATTATTTTAGTTCTATAGAGTGGTAAATATTAGTAAAATCTCGTCAGCGATTGAGTCTAGATGATAATTCGAGTCTTGATGATTATTTGAATCTTGTTGATATTAATTATTTTAATAAAGATTGGGAAATGTTAGTGGAATCTCGTCAGCGATTATATCATATGACATATAAAAGCATAAAAACGAATGCACCTGGTCGCATGGAATTAGTAGAGCAAAATATCACTATCAGTAATGGTGGCAATTCAAAATTTTGCAATAGTAACCATATAGAAATTTCGAATTTTGTATCAGTGAATGCAACAGTCTTTCAAGGAACTTCAGCCAATTCTTATATTCAAATTGTTCGACTATACTCGTTAATTAATGAGAAAAGAGTTGAAATTGACAAAATGCTAGATTCACAACCTGTTTATGCGTTAGGGCCTTACTTTAAACAAGATTACTCTGTGCTAAGCATTGCCTGCTGGGTTACAAAGCCTCTTAATGAATTATTGATCAAAAAGCTTTCAGATTTGTTTGATAACAAGTATGATATAGTGCAACTCAGAAATAAAGATATAAATAGCAACGCTAAAAAAGTTCCAAATGACAATGATAATAATTTATCAAAAAGTGAGGGTGATGACTATCAAACTAGTGAAGAAAATCAGGGTAGCGAAGGAAATCAAAATCAAGAAAATCAAAATAGTTATGAAAGTAGTGAAAAAAATGTAAACGATGAAAATGGTGAAGGAAATGATGAAAATAGAAATGGTGAAAATGGAATCGGCAGTGAAAATAGTGGTGGAAATACAAATAATGGAAATAAAAATGGTGGAAATAAAAACATTAGAAGTAAAAATAATGAAAATGGCGGAGGAGATGGAGATAATAATGGAAAAAGCAATGCTGAAAATGATCAATTTATTCGAGTCATATCAGCAGCAATAGTTAAAGGTGAAGTCGAAGATGAAGTCAAAAAGGAAGAATTTCAGTCATTTAATATCGATGTTCGCATTAGAGCAAATATAAAAAGGAATATTCTAAGTTTTAGTATTGAACTTATTGGGTGTGGAACGAAATGCTTCATAAAAAATGTCAGTCATTTCAGAATTGGTTTGCTGGCTTTTATCTTGAATCTATCAAAATCGAGGTTTCTCCCATCATAAACAATAAATTTGAAGAGTTAGGTTTTACAGTGGAGGATACATATAGTCCATTAAAATCAAAAGATCATGAATGGGAAATGGAAATAAAAGAATGTCCTATAAATGGGCCGACATGGTCATATAAACTTAGAAGTGATATCGAGATTAATTTTGATAAAATTGATCATATAACATGTCCAGAACTACATAAACGCCTTCATTCTGGCAAATGGCTTCTTGAAGAAAGTGTAAAAGAGTTTCGAATCACTGTTGAGCAGAAACTTAACTGCAAAATAACACCCACATCACCTGATAAACCTGATAAACAACCACAATTAACAAGATTCCTGATAACATGTTTGCCCCGCTTAACTCATAAACTTGAAGTTTCTTTTAAAGTTAATGATATGACAAAATTTAATGAAGATTTTGCTGAGTTAGTAAAAAATTTGGGCCGAGATAAAAGAATCCTTGATATCAATTTGGGTAATACAAATACTCTAAAAGCAAACAGAGGTATCATACATATTATTCGAAATATATCACATGAGAAAAAGGAAAAGAGAAAAGACTACATTTAATTAATGAGAAAACGTTTATTTATAAAGAATTTAAAAATCGTTCGAATATTTCAAATGGATCAAGTGAGGTTAAACGTGCTTATTTGGAAAATACGAATACCCATTTTGTCATCAAATTGTTAAATGAATATGATAGCGATAAATATTACGAGAGATTTAATAGAGAGGTATTATACTTCATAATAAACCATAAATAAATCATTATACCATACTAATTTAATTTAATTTGAAATACTTGAACTCTTTAATAAATAGATAATGAATTTAAAAAAAATCGACTCTTATGAAAACAATGAAAATGTAATCGGGTTTTATGGAATTACCAAAGGTATTATTTTATGCATTATTATTTTATAAATGTATCTAACAATGGTATTTCCCTGGAAATGTTAGGTTATTTATTATTGCATCTTGTTATTTTAGAACCTTTCAGGGAATTTTATTCTATGGTGCTTCAGTATTGCGGTGATAAAACCCTTAGAGAACATTTGAAAGAGGAATGTACTTCGAAAAAAGGCTGGAAATATAAAGTAGAAATGGCTACAAATATTGCCAACGGTTTGAAATATATTCACACAGCGAATATTGTACACTGTAATCTGGTTAGTAAATATTTAACTTAATTATTGTGGTTATCCAAATCTGGACAAATCTTAGAAAACCTTAAGGGCCTAACTAAAAATATCGCTATTTCGAAATTGTTAAAATAGCAATATTTATAAAAAAAAGTTTTTTTTTAGAATATTCGATTAGTTTAGATCATGAACCAATTTTCAATTTACATAATAGTAACCAATGTTCTAAATAATCGAGTATTCGTAAAAAAAATTTTTTTTTGTAAATATTGCTATTTTCAACAATTTCGAAAATAGAGGTAAATAACCTTATATAAATAATCTGTAGAATCGTCCCAATGAAGTCGCAATGATTTTTGAAATACGGCAAATTGAGTTGGCTTATTTGTAGCTTAATAAAAAGTTATGCTACGCCATAACTTTTCATATCAAAAAATTCGTTGTGGCTTCATTGGGGCGACTCTACTGCATCACAACTGTGGACAGTATATTGGGTTGAGTCAATAGAGATCTAGCAAATTTTTTATAATTAAATTTTTTACAAGAATAATTGACAAAAACTTAATCAAATTTAATAGAATTATTTTTAAATCAATTCTACAAGTTTGTAAAAATTATTTAAAAAATTTTTTATTAAATTTGGCCAAGTCTATGTTAAGTTATTCTTGTTTAATGTTATAAAAATTTTAATAATAAAATTTTGCTTTATTTCTGTTGACTCACCCTATATTTCAAAATAAAATTTTGCTTTATTTCTGTTGACTCACCCTATATTTCAAAATTATTTTTTGACTAACTTTTTTGTAAATAACATTTAATTTTCTTGTTGTCCAGTTTTGGACAACTACAGTATACATATGGGATAAGTCAATAGAAATTCACTATAGTTTACTAAAATTTTCTAAAAGTGGCTTAATAAGAACCTCAATTTAATTAAATACTGTTCAATAAATTTATAAAAAGTTTTTTTAAATTGTCTTCATTGAGTTATCTTCTGTATAAGGCCATAAAAACTTAATTGGTTCTCATAACCCAAATTCAGCAAAATTTTGATGACTATATTAACTATCCGGGTATACTTTATAAATTTTTATAAAAAAATTTTATAAGTTTTTTATATATAAATTTTTGAAAATAAAATTAAAAGGCGGATTGCCGGGTCATTTTAAAATTTTATGTTATGAGAACTAAAGAATTAACTTTATATGGTCTAAAGTCAAAAAAATAAATTAAAAAAATGTGTATTTCTATTGATTTACCTTATATACTAAAACCGTTGTCCTCATAAAGTTTAAATCTGTCGACCACAAAAGAGTATTCAGCATCTAATTCTTTTATTTTTTTCTTAATAAATTCAATTAATTAATAGAATTCAAATAATATAATGAACCACAATGGTAAATTGATGATTATAGGTTTTGGTTCATCCATGTCCCTCGATAGTGAAACAGAACTCACGCTCAAAATTACTGATGAAAATGTTGCTTATGTGGATCCAAGATGTTTTGATCGTACACTTAATCATAAATATGATAAATCTTCAGATATATATAGTCTAGGTGTGATATTATGGGAAATATCAAGTTGCAAAATCCCTTTTTGTGATAAATCTGAGGCTGAAATAAGAAAATTAACCTTACATGGAGATAGAGAAATTCCTGTTAATTCGACGCCTATAGATTACAAAGAGCTTTATTGTGACGCATGGAATTATGATTCTGAGAAAGAATGTACATCGATCGAAGAAGTCATCTCTCGTCTTAAAGAAATTGAGTTTGACCATGTATACCAAGATTCTGATTATATTCCAGAAATTTCTTATGGGAATAGGAATAATTATGCATCAGTAAAAGATGCTTGTTTAACAGTTATTCAAGGCTCATCACAAAATAAATATTTTTTCCTTCCTCAGTACGCAACAACATTTATAGGAAGGAATAAATCAAATGATATCATTATAAAAGATCAAGAAATTGCTAGAAAACATGCATGCATTGAATGTTTTCAGGGTAGTGTTGTCATTTACGACTTAGGATTTGAACCAGGAATTTCAGTTAATGACAAACGACTTATATTTCACTTTAAACGCGCTTTAGAAAAAGAAGATAAAATTAAAATAGGACGTAGTGTTTTTCAGTACCTTCCTGCTGGAGAATATGAGAACCGCATCGATAAACTTTTACCTATTTATAACAAGAAATATTTGCTTAAAAGCTTGGAAAAGGAATTTAATAGTGCAAAAGAAGATAAACAGAATTTAAGTTTAATATTTTTTGATCTAGATAATTTCAAACGTATTAACGATAACAACAGTCATGGAGCTGGAGATTATGCTTTAAAAGAATTAGCCAATTTAATTCAATCTCATCTTTGCCCTGAAGATATTTTTGCACGATTTGGTGGAGATGAATTTACTATTATTCTTAAGAATACTAATTCTGAACTAGCTTCTGAATATGCAGAGAAAATTCGAAAAGCTGTCGAGTCTCATTCATTCATTTATGATGAAAAACGTTTACCAGCTACACTCAGTATTGGAGTTGCTGAAATAGATTCATCTGTGGCATGTTATGAAGACTTGCTTAAGCAGGCTGATCAAGCTTTAAATATTGCCAAATGCCAAGGTAAAAATCGAGTAATAATTTGGACTAAAAATATGAACTCAAATAGTAAGTTTTGAAATTTCAAATTGCAAAATTCAAATTTCTTATAATATTGAAACTCTAATAACAAAAATTATTCCGTTATACTTCTATGCTATTTTTGTGCTTATTGTCCAGATTTTAGATTCAGGATGATCCAAAATCTTTGTATTTTTTTTAAATGTATAGTTTTTTTATTACTTCTAATGATTATTATAAGGTTTTTAAATATATATCTTTTTTCTTTCTTTAATGATCTTATAAGTTTATTAAAGTAAAAATTGCTGGCTAAAGAAAAAGAAAAATATAGGAAAATAAATAGGTCTTGCGATTTATAAAGCTAGGCTTTATGTAGAATATTAATTCTTAGTTTTAAAAATAGTATAGATGTATAATAAGAACCAGAAATAAATTAGTTATTATTGACGAAATGGCATAAATACTATTTAAACCGAATCAGGCGCTTGATAATAATGTTGTTACGGGAGAGCAACTGACAATAAGCGCGATCAGAATAGTAGATGAAAAGGATTGCGAAATGGGTTATGAAGAGATATCGAGTAAGTAAGGGCTGGAAGGGATAACGGTTAGAGATGGGCAAATCGCAATTTTTTTAAAAATCCTGCGCGGGATTGGATCACAAATCTGCGAGTTTCTTAATTTTTTGTGTCCAATAGAAAAAATCAAATTTATTGCTCTACCGGTGGGCATTGTTTCGAATTTCGGCCCAAATTAAGCTTATCGATATTTCGAGAATTTACAGTAAATATGTTAAAGCAGGCCAGATATTATATTAATGCCAGTCAGATTATATGGCAATGCCGGCCAGATAATTTTATATTAGAAATCCCGCGCGTGCCCATCTCTAATAACAGTGTTTTGGCGTAAATGAAAAATAAATAATAAATACTCAAAAAAAGTTGGAATAATTAATACGTAGTTCCTGGGTTATTAATAATTTAAAAAAAAACATTTAATTCACAATATTATACTCAAATATAGTTTTAAACAACCGATATGAAAGAGTACTGTATATAGTTTTGCATAAACAATTTTTGAACAAGTGAATTAATATTATAGTTGTATTTTAAAGAAGGTTTAGAAGTTTTCAGAGGATAATAAACTTTGTTTTTTTAATCTTTCAAATGCATTTCTAGTTATGCTAAAGTTTGTTTCTTAGGATCTAGATTTTTTTAAAAACTACTTGGAGATAAAAAATTGATGTTTAAAGTTAGTTGCAAAGATATATATTTGTTTTGTAGTATGCAAATTTGCATTGGACCACTGATATTTATGACTAAATATAATGACATTAGTAATTGCGCTTATAGTCGCATTTATTTCCTGTTTTTAAATAATTCTATTTTTCGGATTTAATTAACTACACGTGCTGCAATAGAACAGGTCATAGAACAAACAGTATTACAATCATGCGCAAGTGTCCAGGTATAGAAGAAAATGCTGCAATGCCCTGTGAAAGTGCAACGCGTGAAGTCTATGCATTCACACCTTTGCTTCGCCATATGCACATGTCCAATAAGAAGCAAGATTTTGCGTACGCACCCATTTAATTAGCATTATAACCATACACTTTGTGAAATTTTCAATATCACTCCGTTCCTGGTACTAGCAAGTTTTATGATTTTTCTCAAGTTCTCTTCTTTAGTGGTTTGTTTAAAGTTTTTTTTTTTTGGGAAGGCATTAATAATTTGAAAATAAATATGTAATACGTAGTACTTAAGAATTTAAAAAAAATTTTAAACAATAATTTGTAGTTCTTTATTAATTTATTACGATAATATCATATAATATCAACACAACAATAGGACATATTTAAAAAAAATTCAAAACTTCAGCATAACCAGAATTTTAATATTGGATATTCGTACTTTTAGAATTCTTTATACTAGTACAATTGAAGAACTTGGTTTAATTAAGCAAGCTAGAGACAACTTAGAGTCACAAAATTTGTCTGATTGAAAACACCAAACGACTAAACATTCAAGTCAAGATAAAATTTGAAAAAATTCAAGTAAGGTACAATTACATCCCACTGCAGGTATGTAAAATTTGTTAACAGGCGAGCCTTCAAAAAAAAAATTTCACTAATTCATTCAATAGTTTACTCAGCTTTTCAAAACTGTTTACAGGTAAATATTAAAATTTCTAACAGATACTGTAGTTTATAAATAAATTATTATTAGTTTTTATTTTAATATTACTATTTGGCAATTTTTCAGGTGAAATAAACATTATTCCAAGAAAACACCTCAAAAAAATCACTTCATTGTATATTCATTATGTACAGGAATGTGTTGATATATTTTGTGTAACTAGTGTAAAAATAATATTTTTTTTATGATTTTTCTTGTACTGTACTGTAAAATTTATGTTTAATAATTTGATAGTGATTTTCACTGATTGCAACTAATGTACTATGCTATTTTAAAATTTATGACAGAATTTCTGTCTAGAGGTTGGAACCGGTTTTAAAAATCCGAGTTTATCACATAGAAATTCGAGCTAATCACACCAAAATTCGAGTTTATCCCATCAAATATTGATGCTTTATGTGATAAACTCGGATTTTGGTGTGATAAACTCGAAATAATCTCGGATTTTTAAAAACCGGATCCAACCTCTATTTCTGTCAATTTCAAAGTGACATAATTTGAAAAATAACAAAAAATGAATACAATTACAACTTTAATAGATTTGTATACAACAAATGTGTTATTTTATTGGAGAAAAAATAGAAGAATTTTATGCTTCTTAAATATAAATCTTTATAATTGATAAGCATTCAATGTGAATTATATTACATCTGATTCCTAAAACTAGATTTTATATAATTATCTAGTCGATAGATATTTATAAAATATCTTTATCTTTTAATATTTACAATATATTATCAATGCAACTTATATTTTCTGTGTAATAAAATTGTTATTATGATGATATTTTTATACATTCATAGCTTTTGATGTACTCTAGTTTAAGGAATTACTCAAGCCTAAAGGAAGAATTTTAATCACATTATATGTAATTTCAATAACACCTAACTTAGGGTGTTCTCGATGTGATTAACTGGCGATCACAATATTGCTCAGCTACAATATATTTATATAAATTTTTTTGGTAACAATTTCATTATCTTCGATGTGATTGAGCAGTGATTGTAAACGACGCATATTAATATAATCAATTAAAATAAAGATTGTAATTAATCCTTATTATTCGTCTATTTATTAAACCATTGTCAAAAATTAAATAAAACCAGTTAAGCATGGAAAAAGTTAGTTCAGAATCTACTAGTTTAAAACCTTCATCGGATTTATTGTCATATGAATAAAGGCTAAGTATTGTATGCATGAACAATGATTTCATGTTTTTTTCAGGAATGAGATTCCATGACAAAGTTACTCGAGTGATCTCTTTGAATACTGAAGTAATTGCAAATTTTTCCAAGACAGGATAAAAAAGGTAATATTTAAATGGGTGCAAATTGAAATAACAAATTCACTTAATATTTTTACTAAAAAAAAATTTTTAAGTTACGTAATAAACTTTATCAAGTTGCAAGTATTATTTAAATATACATTATAAATGATAAACACAATTACCTAATTAAAATATTTTTTGATAAGTAATGTTATTTCCCGACACTTTTTGACCCATTGATTAAGGCGCTTGAGAACACACCTTATTTTCAAACCTTAAGAACTTTATTTTTGAACATATCCATAAATTTCGACTTAAAAAAGATGTTTTTAAGATTCAATTATTCTATAATAGAGAGTTTTAGTAAAGTAGTTAACAAACTCGTATAAATAGTATTGTCAGCGAAGTTTATTTAGAATTTTATAGCAACTCTATAAAAATTTGATTACGACAATTATTTACAAGACTATATACGAAAAAATATTGCAATTAAATTACAATTGTTCAGCTATTATATGACTTCGATTACTGTACTTTCGTACTCTCGATAATTGTGCCAGTTCCTAATCCCGGGCTGAAGAATACTGTAGAATCTTCAAAATATTCAATTTAATTGATTCTGATTGGTGAATATTTGGGCTCCGGAATCAGACCGGAAAGAGGTACGGTACCCTTATGTCAAGCTGAAGATCACTTCCGATCATAAATTTCATAAATCGGATCCAATAAAATTACAGGATCTTGTGTAACAAAACAAATGCAAAAAACGTAAGAAAAGAAATTTTACTATGCCAACTAACTAACTTCCGACCTTAAATAATAGTTTTTGGCACGAAATTTTAGTCATAGAAACATTTTTACATACTAAATATATGGGAAATTTTGATATTCTACGATCCAAAATTTTTAGGCCGGAAGTGATCTTTAGCCCGAAATTTGCTTGACATAAGGATGCGATTTTTACAGGGCAATCCCCAAAATTCCTGGTCGAAATATGATCGGCCAGGAAGATCCTTTTAAAATTTAAAGGATTTTTAGAAACTTTAAGCAAATATTTCTCGATGAATATTTAACTAATTCCAGCAAACTTTTTTATTTTAATTCCACGAATATTTATAATTAAAACAAAAAAATTTATCGAATTTGTCTAGATGGCGTAGAGAAAACTTTGCTTAAAGTTTTAAAAAAATGTTAAAAATCTTAGAAAAAGAGCAAAAAACCGTAGTAAAAACATCTTTTTTTAAGATGGCATTTTTAGCTTTATAAAATAATCGCTGTATAGAATTATTAAGCTACATGAATTAAGTACATAATATTTGCTTACATACACATACGCATATACGTATACAGAGCTAGTATTATATCTAAAAAAAAAAAGTAGAATGAATTGGCTAATAAAAACTTTTAACATGTAGTAGTATTGATCAAATAAATATTTGTAATACGTATAAGCAAAGTTTATAACAAATATACTTACAATATATAGCTATACGTATGTTATATAACACAAAATAAGTATTCTAATATCTTATTAACCTATAAATATATAAACATGCATATAAATAATTAGAAATACTTAATTAAGTAAAGGATTTTATGAAGTTTTAGCTTATAATATAGCCTTATACTTACATTCTAATGATTTAGTTTATATATAAAATAATTAGAGATGTTTGTTTAATAGTAAATTATTATAAAGTTTAACTTATAAAATAGTTTGCACTTACCACCTAATAGTTTAATTTATAACCAGAGTAAATTGAGATGTTTTATTTAATAATAAGATCATTATAAAAATTTTAGTTTATAAAAAAGCCTTATACTCACTGTCTAGTTACATATAATAATTAGAGATGTTTTATTTAATAATAAGATTATTAAAAAGCTTTTTTTATTTATAATACTTACCGCCTAATAATTTAATTTACATATAAATAATTAAAGTGTTTGATTTAATAGTAAATTATTATGAAGTTTTTAATTTGAAAATAGTCCTATACTTACATACAACTGTAATATTTAATTTATAAACAGACAATTAGAGATGTTTAATTTAATAATAAATTTTTAGAGTTTTTTTAAAAATTATAAATAGTCTTATACTCACTGGCTAGTAATTTAATTTAA